TAACTAAAATTAGGGCAGTTTTGTGTGTAATTGAACCCATTAGGGAGTTCAAAGATGCACCTATTATTGCTAACAACAAGTTTTTTTTATTATAAATCCTACGTTAAAGACTGCAAAACAACGTAGTCATCTATTTTTTTTTATTTCTCAGAATGAATACAGTCAGTCATCGTGGAGGGTGGAGTGCAATACACTTATCAACATGTATCAATTTCAGGATACATCACAACATGCCCAGAAACAACATCCAACTCCCTATGGACAATCACACCATCTTTGGTTGATGCTATTTAAAGCTGACCTCTGTTGACCTATTTAGGGACAGATTGTATACTTTTATGTCCAACGCTAAAGGTAAAGCTTTTTATGATTCAACTTTTAGGAAGGATGCCCTTATGTTTGTAAATGAGATATTATGTAGATAATAGTAATTTGATAATCCAATGCAATGATGAATTATGTAGGGCTGGGGTGGTTAAATAAAATATTGGGAGTATCCAACAGAGATATTCTAAATTCTGTGTGATTATTATTGTCCGAAATGCAATTATTAATTGGTGCTATTGGAAAATGATGATCTGATGATGATGATGATGATGATGATATTGATAATAATGGTGATATTGATGAAGACGAATGATATGACACGTTTGCCAATATTGAGAATGTACAGTTGTGCAAATGTACTGAAAAGCTATAGAGTTCTTTTTATTTAGTTTAATTTCTCTCACATGTGCACCTTCAACAAGACAAATTCAACTTTGAGGCAAGTTCACCTTTGAAACATAAGTTCATTCATTATATATTAAAAACCTAGAATCTGCAACCAAAAATCCATAGAACTGAAGAATAATGAATTATATTATTCATTTCAACATGGTATGTTAAACTGAGAATCAAGGAGTTAGACAATGTAAAGAGTAATCAGACCCAAAATAATAAATAAAATATAGAGTACCACAATCGCGTCGTCACAACATCAGGTGGCACCCTCTGGACATTGGTTACCGTTCATTACGCCTGAATGACTTCATAATCTTAATGGTTTAGAATAGGCTTTCTGGAATAGGCATTTTAAAACCTTATAATTTACCAAAATGTACTAAAAACACAAAAAGCTTGCATTGGAACACACATTTAATCATCTATAACATTTACAAAGTAAAATTAAGATACATCTTCTTAATAATTACGTTAGAAATTGGAATCAATGGTTTGTGAATAGAAAAAACGGCATCGGTTGATCGCATTTTGTGTCGCCAACAGAGTAGTATCACGTGGTATCATGACATAACATTGTACAGCAGTACTCTATACCAAACTGGTATAAAAATACCATGCCTAATATAAGGAGACATAAGCCAGATATCTAGATTTTTTATGTTATACTCAGATAATGTTTGATTAGATAGAGTGTCTGAATATAGTCCAGAAAAAAACATGTGACATTCCTAAATATGGTCATGATGACATCACATCATCACCATAAAACAGTTTTTTTGTGTAAGAAAATTTAATAGTCTGGCAGAGCTAAATATACATCTGATCAAACAAATGTCTTCATATATATTTATAAGCAAAAACAATGCCAAAGATTGAGTTTACATTAAGTGCAACAAGCCAAACTGATCCTATAGTATGTCTGAATCTACATTATGATGACTATTTCTTGGTAAAATATAGTTACTGTATGAACAAGATATTTTTAAAATATTTTGCTAGTCTACTGTACATACCGTACATACTGTAGTTTTCTCAATTTTAAATATTCCTTATTGTAAACAAGTTCAATTGCTCACAGTACTTTGTATAGTTCAACAACAAAGTCTGACAAACTTTAGTTCGCTAAATTTTTTGGTGAGATAGTATCTAGAGATACTTAGACAGTCAGCCCACATGTTCCAATATGGCAGACACGTTGTCCTGTCTGTGTTTATTGTACCATCTTAGACTAAAAGTTCCTAACTGTCACAAAAAGGGAAGGCCCAACCACATATTTTTTTTAATTTTTGTAACCAAGGTCAAATTTTTGAAAGTTAAGGCAAATGACTAATTTTACTCACACATTATTTTCTGGTACCGCAAAGCGAGTACTCAAGTTACAATTCAAGCCACTATAGTACATTCACATGTTTTTGTGGTTGAAGCCAAGTAGCGAAGACTGTCATATTTTGATACCATTATTGCCCTAGTTTGGGGCAATGTGATCTAAATAATTCAGCTTTCGCAGTACATTTTATTATGAAAATCTTTTAAATGATTACTAGCCAATTACAGTAAAGTGTATCAATGTGTAGAATGTATCAATTATTATTTTTGTTGATAAGAAAAATCCTGTATCTTAATCATTACTATGGTTACTATTAATTAGAAATCATTATTGCCTTTATTTAAATCATTCATGTAATTTTAAAGGACAGTAAATAAAGCTTATTAATATTGCAATTAATGAATATAGAAAATAAATATTAATAATCCATAAATTTAAAGTTTAGGATCAATTTTTAAGTGTTACTTTGTTTCTTACATTTTCTGTTTAATTGTTAAATATCGGTTAGTTGTTGGTGACTTTAATGAGTAGCATGACACAGTTCCTTTTAGTTCACTGCAAACCTTTTATTAACACAAACTGTACGTTGGTTACAATCAGCTAAACTCCAGGTTTCAGATGTTAGAGAACCCTTTTAGAGTGGAGTCAGCTCGGCCCTGTACTTTCTTCTGTGTTGAATCTAACTACTGACTACTGAATACTACTCACTTGGTAGTGTAATTATGGTTCCAATCCCAGCCTTGACTACTGTACAGTTGGCTGATGTACAGTAGACAGACATGAGCTAAAATGTTAAAATGTGTGCCCACTTGCAATGCTCATATTCACTACCGAGAGAAGTTGCGAAAATCCTAACAGTAGGCAATAATTATTTATAGTTTACTAATTATTTTTCAATAGGAATTTTAACTGCACCTCCCCTTTACAGTAGATACCATGTGAATGGAGGTTAAACATTCTGGATGACTATTTCAAATGACTAACTGCAATAATCTTGAAGCACTTATTGATTTTTATTATTTTTATTGATTATTATTATTATTATTATTATTATTATTATTATTATTATAATTTTTAGATCAATTCAAAAAGTACAATCAATCAATCAAAATACTTATATAGTGTCTAATATCCATAAGTGTTTAGTAGCGCTGTCCCACTTGTTTACAGTATAGTCTACTCTGGGCTAGCAATTTGCAATAGGCCATATTTTTTGGTTGCCGAGTCAAAACAAATTCCATAATTTCGGCACGATTTCATCATCAAAAACGATGAGCAATCCAGTCAATAACTGAAAGGGAAAGAATAAACTTCAGAATCTGTAGTTGAGGTTATGACGACAACAACGTGCTGCTATCTTGCGTAGACATCAGTTAGTTGAGGTTCAAAGCCCGTAGTTGTTGACTCACTCCATAACATCCCTTAAATACATGTACATAATTTTACTTACATTACTCCTAATTGAAGATTTTAAATTTCATTGCTTTCCTTTTTATCAATAAAAAATGTCAGTATGTTGATAACAGTGTAACTGTTTTGATCTAAATTCTAAGAGGCATTAATTAAGCCTACAAGTGATCTAATTATTCTTAATGAATTTATTAGCATTTTATGGTTCTAGAGGATATTTATACAGATCAGGAAATATGCTATCACACATCCTCATCTTCAAAGTTACCACTTTTTTTTTCTACCATTAAAAAATGCTCACCGTTCTTTAACAGGTTTATAGTTTATTGGTTGGTTTTTTTACTACCTTGTTCAGCGAACTATCGTCAGGAGGGTGGAAAAAAAATATACACAAAATTTTGTTTTCTTATTTAGCAAAATTATTTTGCCAAAGCATCTAGGCAGAGAAAATAAAAATAAAAATTGATGAATGTAAGTGTAGAAATGAGATTGATAATGCTTTAAATTTATGTAATTAAAGAATGAATTATTTTTGGAGATTTCAGGGGGCTAGGGGACGCAAGTTAAAATCTTTTTTTAATTTCCATTTTTCATGGAGGAAGGTGCGCTAACTGCCAAAATTAAAATTGTATTTTTACTCCATATCACCATTACTGGCGGTCAAAGGGGTCGGTAAACAATTGTATTAAAAAAGTCTCGCGTTATCATCACAGTAAAAAATTGTCATTTTCCCAAGTGAAATGACTTTAGAAAATGAGGTTGGTCAGGATATAGGCCTAGGCCCTACTTTTCTTTTAAAGGCCAAATTCTAATGTTCATTGCCAACTACCACTCACCCCCATGCATTCTGATAATGAAAATGGTAATCACATCACCTATTAATTAAAGCTTTAAAAAATTTTGTTTTGCCTAATAGAATATAATATAATTACAACTGTACACAATTAAACTATAACTAGGACAATTTAAGTTTATGCCTGTATGACAGATAGACAAAAAATATATAATTTAAATTAAAAACTGCACAGTTCATTGAATTTATAACTCATGGTATATCACAAAACATTCTTAATTCACTATAAAATGTCAACAAACGGTGCCACCACCAAGCTTTGTAAGATAAACTCCTCTTAAGATTTAGGTTGTGGTCTTGTTTCTGATTTAGCTTTAGGCTAGGCTAGGCTAGGCTGGGTCTGGTTGGTGTATTACGAACTGGCAATTTAAAATACAGAAATTCTAATGTTTGAAATATTTTGAATAATTATTAAATAAGCAGTGTCAGAAACTAGGCATTGCCAAGGGCTAGGTAGCCACAGAAACAGGTGCTAATCATCCATTTCTATGTGCAGCCTACATAATTAGTAAAGACTTTGTATATTAGTGAAATTTATAGGCCTACTGTAACTTGTAAGCATCAACGATAATTGAAAAATAAAAAGAAAGATATGACATACAAATTGACTAGTTATTACTAAGCAAAAACCACACCAACACTGACACAGAGGAAATGCAAGCGAGGACAGAAATGAGAGGTACTCACCACGGTCGTTTGCCTCTTGTTCCAACTGCTTGAACCCATCCGACTCACAATTAGACTGCTCGAGAACAAGTGTGAGAAAACGAGTTTGCGTTGATGTTATCCTTTTCAGGAGAGAATACAATGCTACAGTTTGTTCACAATGGTTCCATTCTTTGAACACATTCGACACGGCGTTCACTTGATCCCGAAACAGAAACGTTGGTTTGCCGTTTGTTGGCATTGTGGGAAGACGTCTGGTAATACTTGCGGCCAAGTCAGAGGTGATGGATGGATGTCAGGCAGAGAACTTGGCTGGCATGGTGATCTGAGAAGTTATGTTTGCTGGCAAGAACAAGTTAAGGAAGTGAGTTAGCCTCAAGAGTACACGAAGGAAAAGCTTGTTTCAGTCACGGGTCAAAGTTAAAAAATAACTCACAATGTACAACAAAGTGAACAGTCTAGTAAATGTAGATAGAAGAGCTTTTCAAAACAACTGATTACAATTGAATAACTGAGAAGATATCCAGATTTTACTGTAGCATAAATTTGACAGCCACCTCCAGTATCTAAATAAAGTATAAAACTTGTTGTTGCATTAACGAAGAACAGTAAGCTTTACAAGTTGGAAGCTATTCAAATGCTACTTCCTACGATGAGTAATATTTTATAAATCTGGTTAGAAAAGGAAATATGAAGATGAAGTTTGGATGTTAACTAATATCTATACTGCAAACACACATTATGCCAAAACACACCTTATTAATTTATAAAGTGTTTATTTTACCGGCTAAAACTTGATTTAGCCTATCCTTGAGGTTAGGGTTGGAGTGCATCCTCACTAACCATCACAAAAATACTTTGTAATCAAATAGGAGTACCTGTACTACTGGCTAAATAAACACTATACCTACACATTACTAGGCACACATTCTTAAGATACTGCTTCACTTTAAACAGTGATTATTTCAGAAAGAAAATCTCATTGAAAGATATTTGATAATGTACAGGTCTAAGAAATATAATATTTGAATGTAATTTCAATTCATACTTTATCCAACAACAGACACTTTTTACAAATTTAAAAACATAATTTCAATATACAGTAATGATAGAACTATAAAATATTAATAATTATAATTATCTGTGTGATGACATGAAAAGGCCTGAAAAAAAACCCCCTTTTTTACCTCTGACCATAACTAGCTTGATAAAATGCCTCCAGCACAAAATGTAATTTGTACCATAGCACAGAAATGATGGTGTAAACTTAAGAAAAAAACAATACTAAGGGTAGGTATCACGCTATGTTTCTGACTGCCAGTCCCATAGTCAGGCACTATCTCAAGCCCTGACACAATATGATGCCAGTCTGCTGATCTTCGGTTGCAGTTTGGCCGCATTTTGTCCTCAGCATCTGGTACATTGTTTGTTCAAGGAAGCTCAACAAAAATCAGATGCTTTTTAATTGGTGAAGTCTACAAACATCTAAAAATAAATTGCAAGTAAGTTGCAGTAAAATAGAGGATTAAATGTGTGAGCGACTAGATGGGGTCACTTGTAGATGGGTCACTTAGAGATGGGTTATTCGCAGATGGGTCACTCGTAAATACAGACGTACAGTACCTCTAGTAGCATCTCTGACAAGCTGAACCAACTACAGTGGCCTTTTCTCTACTACTGTAGCTGCGTAGCAAATTTTATTGTCTTATTTTCCTTGACAGTAACAAACTGCAAAAATTTCAGACTATGCTACCATACCACCAAACAAAATAAAATTACTGTTAATGTGTAGAGTTGGTTCACATGAAACACAAAATGAGTTTCAACATACAATTTTCTAAGATTTAACAACAATAATTTACTACGGCAGTAAGCACGTAATTACAGTAAACAATTTACTCACAGTAACAAGAGTGTAATTTTTGCATACGAGTAAAGTTATAATTACTATGCCTTATACATACTATAATTTATAATTCACAGCCTGTTAAAAAGAATTAAACCGTTATTAATGAGTTTTAAAATTGGTCTGCACTTGAGAACAAAGTCTGTGCAAGATTTGCTACATAAGAATACATTATTTATCAGTGTGACACATTCCTTAATTACCTTATTAAATTTGCTTTTCTGGTGGTTGTACAGTCAACTTTACTATTGTCTTTCATAACTACCTCACTCACATGCAAGAATAGGATCTTTTGTATTAATTTCTTCTTATAATTACTGTATCTCATCTATTAATTAAATTTGAATAACATTTACAATCCAGTAAATGGTAAGAAATCAAAGCAAGAGCTTTGATTGCTATTACTATTATTATTATCGAAATTATTCATCAAAAAGGCTTTTTTGATTAAAACAAAGGTGTCAAGAGAAATAACACAGGCACCAATAATAAAAATCATATTTTCTTATTGACAGAATACAATTCTTGATTACTCTACTTTATTTTTACTGTGCTGGGATTAAGCTCTTGGGGGAGAGGGTTTAACTGTAGGAGTCATCTAATTTTCATCAGTATGCAAGCTATAATGGCTATTTTTAAAATGATCGGTAGCCATAGGCGATGTGGTTTCAGAATCATTTTTTATGGTTGAAACATATTCATTTGAAAACACCCCAGGGCATTTTTTGTTGCGAAGGGTTTTTGAGGGGGCGTTTATTCGAGGGAGGCATTTAATTTTTTTTAGTGCAACATGGATACGTATACGCTTAAATAAACGCCCCTTAATTTCACTGTAAATGTGAAACTAAAACACCTAATTACAGTAGAACCTCGATTTTACGTACGGTACGGGACCAGAGGGCGTACGTAAATCGGGGGATTCGTAAAATAGAGGTTGGGTTAAATTTGTGGTAACCTTTGACCTAATACGTACATAATGCTCAATAAACGTACGAACGAATGATGATACCTAGGCTAGACCTAGCCTCTAGGCCTACGAATAAAACCATGTGTTTAGTGTTTTTATTCATCACTTTACGGTGTCATAATAAAGTGTTCAAATAAAACCATGTGTCTAGTGTATTAATTCATCACTTTATATCTTTTATTTAACTAAAATAAAGAACATGAAAATATTGTAAGATTACCTATACGACAAAGGTATAACTTGGGAATTCCCCTTCATGCCTATTCTAAACAACAGAGATGTGGTGTTGTCTGGGCCTGTTGAGACAAACTAAACCCATGTGCGCTGCACTGGGCGAGCCAACCAATTAGCGTTCGTGTACGTGAAACAGCAACCATGTGCTATGCACTAGGCGAGCCAACCAATTAGCGTTCGTGTACGAAACTATGTCTACTCAGCTTCGTGTAGAAAATTCGACCAGACGAGTTCTTCCATGGTTTGCCACACGAAGCTAGGAGGAAAGCAATAATTTTGAGCACCATCGGTAGTTGCTCATCTCACTCAGTTCACGTAGTTTTAGATTATAACAACCCGGTATTAGACTCAATCAACGTTGCTGTTTAATGAAAATACGTTGCATTATGGTTTGTTAATTGTTATTTATAGTTTATTGTTATGTTCTTTTTACTTATGGTTACTCTCAAAAGGGCCGTTTGTTTTGGATATTTTCGGGGTTTGTGATGACGTCATCGTCCATACGAGGCGTATGTAAAACCGAGGGTTCGTATAACTAGGGTACGTAAAAACGAGGTTCTACTGTACCATCAAAATGTGTTATTGTGATCATAAAGAAAAAAGAAAAAATGTAATTCTACTGGAGTAGAATATGGATAGAATCTGCTGAGGATGATGTTGCTCCCATTAGTATTGTTTACAGTCACTTAGGGTGGGGGAGGGGGAATTTATTCAAGGGAGGAATTTATTCCAATGAGGCTCTGGAGGAGAGTTTATGAGAGGGGGTTGGAGAGTGTTTATTCAAAGCGGGGCAATTATTTGAATTAATATGGTATCTTGTCTGGATTCTAAACTTCGCCCTAGCCTGTCATTTCAGGAGCACATCCGAACAGTTCACTTGCAATTGCATTTAATAAATTGAAATAATACTCTATTCTATCATCTGCAATCAGGCCTTATGTAGGTAGTGGGTTTATAATCAATCATGGACTCATACAAAATACTAATAAAATCTTAATATATAATATTTGATATGGGTTTTTTTTTAATTGCAATAATTACTGTACTGTACTGTATACAGTAGTTAAAATCTCTGACTTACTTTACTTAAACCTGCTTATTGATACTTAGATCAATCGCATAATTTTTAATTATTTAGCATTCACTTAAATGATTACAATGAGGAAAAACTGTTAACGCCAATTAATATAAAATCAATAAAAAAAAAACTAACAGAAACATTAATGATTCCTATATTTATACTTATCAGAATTGATGTCTAACATTTAACAATCAATTTAAAAATTTTGGAAAAAAGGACTGGGAAATCAGACTGTATGCCTGCGCGAGGAATATATCCTCCGCACAAAAATTCTCCACACGGTTTTTCTAGCGAATATCCGCGCAAATTTGAGCTAGTTTTTGAGGTATCAATGATCATCCACACAATTAAAATACTTTTAATTTAGAGTATGGCTTAGAAAAAACTAAAAATCATTCTTTTGTTAAGGAAGTTCCTACGACTACTATTTCTACTAGGCCAAGCCCCGAGCCACTAGGACAGGTTCTAGGCCCTAAGGCTAGGAAGACTAGCCTAGATAACCAGGCTAGGCCAAGGACTTTCCTCAATATTAGGCCTAGGCCTATGTTTAGTATGAAAGATTAAAAAATACTGGCACTGTGGCTAAATCGTACTTATTATAAGCATATGCTTATAACTTGCATATATCCTATCATATAATGAAATGGCGTTTTGATACTTCCACATTTGGAATGGTACTGATAATGATATTCATAGCGTTGAGGTGAAGATATAACCAACCTAAAATTGACTTTCTGTAGTATTCGTAGCACCTACCAAAACGTCATTCCGGGCGTACAGTTTTTCTCCCTCAACTGTTCAGTAGGCTACGGGGTTTGATGACTGGCAACGCAGAATATCCACATATTCCAATTAAAACGGATGTTTTTGAAGGCAGCCTATGTTGCAGTTTCAAAAAATAAATTATCAAAATATACTCTTTGTACCTTAACCTAAAACGAATGAATATTACAATAATGTTAGCTTGCACACTAACCTTAACTATTTCTGTATTATTCTCTCAAAACACAACCCAACCTCTTCTCTCTCTGTTCACGAACGGACACAAACATGTGTCATTTGATGAAACCAATAAATAATAGGGTGGGTACAAACTAAAATAGAATTATGGCCAGTACTAGGAAACAGTATCATAGTACTGTAAATTTGAAAAACTATAAGTATGTACCGTTATGTATAAGTAAAGGTAAATATCGGTACGAAGTTCGATTAATTTACAAAACAATACATAATTGTTACTATAAAATACCCTAGAATTTTGAACTCGACCGTAGTAAATTGTCAGTCATTTTTGTTGTCCCGTGAACGTGACGTCAGTTTAAGGGTGGCTTTTTATAGGTGGCAGTATTTCAGTTGATAGAAGCGTGTGGTAGAGACCGTTTTATGACTGGTTGTACTTTATTATACGTCGTCACGTATGAAGTCATTCATGAACCGACATTTTACAAGTTAAACATCAAACAACGATCATGGAGGAATCTATTCAGATGCCACCAGAAAAATCTGATTCAAAAGAAGTATTCTAAAATTTACATCTGCTGTTACAACACTGTGACTAGGCCTAGGCTAGGCCTATCATCAACCAAGCTAAGGCCCAAAGCTTGCAAGGGGCTCCTCCCTTCCTCCTAGCTAGGTCCTAGGGCTAGGCTAGTCTAACGTAGCCTGGCTAATCCCAGGCCTAATTGTTTTTTCTGTTGCTGTAGCCTGTAGACCGTTAGGCTAGACTCTAGGTGGGCCTCTCAATTTACATTACGTATCTTTAACTAGATAAATATCCTATAGGTCTATATATGGCAAGCCTACTATTACTCTAGCCTAGCCTAGGCCTATAGACTATACTGAGTACCAAGTACCAGTTAGTTAGGCCAGGTCCTAGCCTGCAGTAGCTGGCTAGGTAGGCCTAGCTAGGCCTAGGGATACCAAACAAGAAAATTTTACCAAGATCGCGACGACCATTCATTTTGTTTGAATAAGCAATAATAATATTATTAAAATACTAATAGTTATAAAACTTACCCCAATATTAGGGGTGCGAACATATTAGGCCTGGCCTACTGCTGTATAGTATGACATGTAGTTAACAAAAAATCCTCATTGACTATGTGACTGTACATCGGCATTGTATAGTATAGTATAGGGTAGTAGTAGTACCAGCAGGAAAGACCTAATAGATAATTTAAGCTAGATTCAAAAGAAGTAATCTAAAATTTATATTTATGTACCTTTTCAGACTTTAGTAGGAAGTAGTGGTTTAGTGTCAGCTGCCCTGACACCTGAGAAAGACTTTGAAGCTATTACATTGGAAGAGAAGAAGCAACCAAAGCGTGTACTACATTTTAGCGATGGAATACTTGAGGAATTCAGTTCCGATGAAGAAGATGAAACTGACGATTCAACACCAAAAATAGATCCTGTAAGATAAAATAGTTTTATTTGTCATTCATGATCATTAGATGACATCTGCTACTGATTGTGGAAAAGTAACCCACAAAACTTTGTAGACTTGTATTCAGTGAGGTCCTTCTGGTTGTGATTTGGGCAATCCCCTACTATTTGTGACCGGGTCTGGCAAAACATGCCATTTGTCTTAATTTCTAATTTCCCACAAGCATCCAAAATCTTTAAGGGAAATCAGAATTTTGAACATTTTCATGTTTTTGCATTTTATAAAAGAAGATACATTGAAGAACATTTTCTACCAATCGCTAAATCTAACTGAAAAGTATATTAAAATTACTGTATTTTTAAAATACAAATCTTAATAATATACTATTAATTTTGGAATCTTTGGAAGCTGTTTTCTCAAAACCTACATGGCTGATATCCAATCAATTAAATATTCATAACTTCCCTAATACTCAACCAATTTTCATCAAATAAACACTGTTTTAAGAATCCATGCAGAATGTAAAATCACCATAAACTCAATTTTGAATATTTCCTACAAACAGCTGGTTTTGCCAAGAGAGTGTGCTGAATTCTTTAATGTGCACATGGGCCATATTTTAAACCACCTACTAAATATTGACATACATGCGTTTCCACTGTTCCAGGGCCGGCAGAACATTTTTTTTTTGGGACGGGAGGGGCGCTCTTTTCTTGCATTTCTTTCTGATTGTACGAAAATCTGCATAAACATTATATATTTTCTGCCAAAAAGTGCCCCCCCCCCTCGGTTCTGCCGGCCATGATTTCATTACACGCACAGTCACTACCACCAGTTTAGCTAAGCTGCTGTCTCTTCTTGTAATTCAGCCTATCAGATTCCTATACAATGATGTAGCAGTACCAGCATAATGATATGATCTGAAAAAGCTTACAGTCATTAAAAATGCCTTACTGTGTTTGTTGCCATATTTTTCAATACTGTTTTAATTACTTTGTTTTTGGCAGAAAACCTTGACTTGGATACCATATATGTGGTATTACTGTGTGCTTGGAGCAACCAAAACTCTAGCAGGTAATTTATAAATTTCTGATACAGTGTTGATATTATAATTTATATATTTTTCCTCATTCATCTCGGAAATATAAAATTTGGGCTGGTCCTCGGGGGCCTAGAGCAGCCACAGTACACCGCTGCCAGACTTAACTACAACATGTAATTGACCCCTACGGACACAAGTATGTTCTTTAACCCGCCTAACTCTTAATGTGAGGGTTATTCAACTGTTCAAGGAGACGAGAGACCAGACTCCAATTAAAAACAATGCTTTCTTCTTGTATATTAGAATATGGTGCTGTATAAATTATGAATATAATTAGTACGATGATGATTACGATGACGATGCAGCATACTGCTGTCTGGTAGCACAATTTTTTTTAACCTAATTACAAAATACTATTAAAATACTACTGATTACTGTTTATTTTAATGAGTTGTCATATATATTTATTTTGATATTAAATTGAATAATGTTTTTTTTTTTTCAGTTTGTGATTTTGTTGGAGAGAAATTTGCATGGTGGCTTGGAATTACATCACCTAAATATCAGTATGCCATAGATGAGTACAACAGGTTACATGCTGAGGTACAAATATATTTTTTTCAATTTTTAATAAATAATATTAATAATAATAATAATAATAATTTGTCTAAATTTGTGTTATTTTCCCCTTAACATTTTTTTTTTAATTGTTCTGTAATTTCTTTTTAAGGTAAGTTTTAGTAACATAATAATAATAATAATAATAATAATAATAATAATAATAATAATAATAATAATAATAATAATAATAATAATAATAAATAAATAAATAAATAATTTTTAGTATTAATATATATATTTTGTAATAATAATTTATTAAATTTTTATACAGTTAGCTTTCCACATGAATCACTTGGAAAGTGCTTTACATTATAACCTGATTATTGGAAACAGTAACAATCACACATAATGTGCATCCCTTTTCACTCCCTGAGGGAAGGAGGTAATGTATGTTGTGTATAAGTGTTACTGTTTTAAATAACATGAATACCCCCTCCCTGGGGAATATTCCTAATCATGCATGTAAATCTAGCATACACCAATTATATTCAACATAAAACATTTACATCCTACAGAATATCCATTAATAATCCTGGGTAGAGAGACACATACGTAAAGTGCCTTGCATAAGGAAAAGCTTACATTTAAGAGGCCAAAATTGCAACCACTGACGTCGATTGCATCTGTAACTAATATAAAGGGAGACGGTGCCTTGAGTAACTCTTTCAGTGAAAAGTGACAGTTGTTTGGTGGTGCGCATGGAAAGCAGGATCGGCAAGGTTTTGTCTGCCATAAATTTATAAATAAATGCCTTTTACCACAACTTAGTACTCATAACCAATTTCATATTAAGTAGCTCGATTAATATCTCTGACTTTGTTGTTTCTAGGAACGAGAAGAACTCGACCAGGAAGCAGAGGAACGCGAGGAGATTAGAAACAGAGTGGCAGAGACAAATGCAAAAAAGTTGTACATGGACCCTGTTGGACAGCCAGGAACAGATCCCTCAGCATCAAACATATAACACTTCACAATTTAGTGAAATTCTTAGTCCTACCAGTAACAGATTTGCACCGGTTTAGTGTATAACTTATTTGCTAGTTAACTAAGTAAACTATATCTAACTAGGCAATATCTAGCTAACTAACTAGTTAACTGAATATACTATATCTAACTAGAAAATATTTAACTAGCTAGTTAACTAACTAAACTGTATCTGACTAGCTAGTTAACTAATTAAACTGTATCTAACTAGTTAATGAGTGAATATCTAAATAGCTTCTTAAGGCAAGACCTTTTGTTATACCTTGTTCTGCAAACCTGACGCTAATGATGATTTTATGCAATTTGTTTGTGGCCGTAGAACATGCCCGCCGTTACCATAACATTTCAGAAAAGACAAACTTTTTATTATCACATCCGCCTTCACCGCCAGAAAATACATACATACATTACATCATTTATATAGCGCTATATCATGAAGATCAGAGCGCTGACAAAATTAATAAATACAAATTGTTCATCAGTCAAATAGTGAACTGTTTATGTTACAAAAGGTGCCCTCTATTTTTACATCAAACAGTATTTTTAAAATGTGCCAATACAATTGTATTTCTATCTTCTCATGCTTTTGGTAGAACCATTTTGCTAAATGAGAACAATTTTTTTCTGCCCTCTCTAATGGTCTTTTTAAAAGATAAAGTTTGCTTAACAAGTTTAAATGAAAATAACCGAAAGGTCCACTGTTTAATCTCAGATAAGATAGTATAATACATACAGCAAGTATCAAAATGCTTGCACGATGGCGTGCATTTCGATATTTGGAGTATGTATTATACTATCTTATGAAAATAAGTCTTGCATAACTAGTGTACTAGTGTAGTTTACATGGTGTTAGTGTATTTCATGTTAGCCAATAGCAGTAGTTTTGTCATGATTGGATCTCCATGTAGACCTTATCATAAACTAGATAATGACGTAGCTGGTAGGACATCCCTGTTATAAAATGCAATATGAGTTGTCTCCAAAGTAAATGTTAAAAATTATTTATGGCCACCAATATTTAATGCTTTTACTTTAGGTTTGTTTGTATTTCATTTGTGTTACATTTTTACAGTGCAGTATTTCAATTATGGTGTGGTTGTTTGGCATATTTTTCTATATTTTGTAATTAAATTCATGTTAACTATAAGTGTTATGTTATGTCTTTAGATTTTACATTGTATTTAATTACATTATAGGCCTAGATGTGTTTATATATAATTTACTACATTGGTAATATTCTATCATAAAATTTAGTGTAGCGCCCTCTATGTAGGTTTATACTTTTTCAGATTTCTTCAAGATATTCCAAATGTTGGGAGCTAAGAATTTTAAGTGTGTATAAATTGGAAAGAAAAAATTTCCAGTTGTGCATCGCCTGGGGTGGATGCAAGGGGTGCAGATGGTGCGATCGCAACCCCCTAAATTGCATTTTTTTAAATAATTGTTGTATTGTACAGTATTGTTGATATGAACATACTGTAGGCAGTACTGTGCAATTTCTGGGCACTTAGAGGTCCATAGTTGCAAAGTTTTCTCACTTCTGCCCCAAATTTGGTGGGGCTGAGGTGGTGTGGACTGTGCACCCCTTACTGCCAAATCTTGCATTAGCTCCAGATCCCCCAAATTTAGCAAGCAAGTCAAGGATAGTATTAAAAGCACTGTGTTGTTTTGAATACTGTACAGTAGAATGTAACATGCATTGGGGCTGTGCTCTAGTGGTAAATTCACCATAAATGGATTTTAACCATAATTTTTTACAAGTAAGAAAAGGACCAATTCATATTTTTTTTTGCAAGTATTTTGGAATTTTAAAGATAATTTGTAATTTGATATACATATTCATTAATAGAATCAAAAATGTTGTAAGTCTGTAACTGTGTTATTGAAATGTTCTGTTTTATATTTTTCTATCAAAAGATTCTGTTTTTAATCTAAATTTCTATTATTTTCCTTGATGTCATCTCTATGCATGTGTACCAGGATGATATATCCCTCCATTTATTATCTGATAGTAATCAAAGATCACACAAGATAGCGTTCTGAACGATTTACGTGTAAACAAAATAAAAGCCTTGATTAGGCAGAAAAGTAAACACTTTTTGAGAGAGGGCGCCCTAGTTGTTGCCATTGAAGGTGTTCGCGTCACGCCAAAGTTTGTTACCAAGTACATTTTAATGTTCCGTTTTTGTTTTAAAAAGAGAGCATGCATTGTAAATAAACGTGCAGTGTGTGCTATAGTCAAAGCAGACAAAGTTCAAAAGTAATCACTTTTGCAAGAGGGTGCAGTCACTGTGTTATTACAGAATTTGCACACGAAAATTACGGAGAATACTATCTTGTGTTTATAAGATCTTAGATAATAATGTTTGAATGATTGTTTTTATTATTATAAGTACAGGTATACTGTACTTCGATATGCATTACTCAGTTTCCTGCGTAGTCTTCTTTCATGTTGCACAAGGTCTTTATTGTCATTGTAAGGCTTAAAGAACATTTTGAAATTAATTTTCTCATTTTGAATACTTAACATAAAGATTATCAACTGAAACATAGGAATTAGTGTATTTAAAAAATGTTTACCCATAATTTTACAGCGAAAAATGATAGAAACAATTCCAGTCACTGGAAGCATTTTATTATTTTATTATCCATTATAAAAATCAAGGTACACATTTTTAATTTAATAATTTCTATGCTCAAGTTCATAATTGGTAGATGTTATGCAAAATGAGCAAGTTAATTTAGTTTTTTTTTTTTAATGATTTTTTCACTTTGACAATACATCTTTAATAATTTGCTGAAAATAAAACAGGTGAAACATACAGTAATGGATGGATACTGTAAACTTAAACTGGAAATTTTAAGGAAAAATCAATTGTATATGGATATATAATTTTTCAAAATTTGGGAATAATAAGAGATTGTAAAATTATATGATGATATGATATGCTAACATGGGAGCATACTTTTTAAAATCATGTGTTTTATTTTTTGGTTTAAATTAGCAATTGAATGCATAAACCGGAACGAAAAGTTTTGGCACTTAGTGAAACGTCATGTAATACGAATTTACGTACAGTGTTTTGAAATAGTGTAATCCTGTATCAAATACAGACATTACGCTAATTATCGTATCTTGGTAGTCCTAATTAGTTTATTCATGGTTTGTTTAAAATTTACTGAATTATATTCTAGTATTGTATTGCATCTTGTGCTTAGTTGCATACATGCAGATCACCTAATTTTTATGAATATTCGTACACGTGCAATAAGAAATATTGTATATATTGCAGTGATCTTGCTTCATATAAGATTATATCGCCGGAAATGTCCATCCAGATGTGAAATATAATCTTAAAACAACATGCTACAATAAATGAATGAAATGTTATGAAAACAAGATTATGTAAATAATTGATTACTTCTTTTTTGTTGGTTGTAAAAAGCAAGTTCCCCAGGACCACACTATACTTCTGGCGCTTTAATGTGTATCATCATCATTTTTGCACCATTTTACCAATAAAACACTATTTCAACAACTGAAAATCTTTAAAATTGTATTATTGACGTTCAGAAATGGATGAATTACAACATGCTTCAATGTAACCCATCTAAAACTGAATTCATCGTTTTTCCAAATGTACAAAAATACAAAATAAAAAAACCGAAAGGTCTACTGATTAATCTCAGATAAGATAGTATAATACATACTCCAAGTATCAAAGTGCACGCTTTCGTGTCGGGATTCAATATCTCGACATTAAATTAATATAATTTATCAGGGTAATGCAAAGTCGGTGTATCAACAGACAGTGCTTATGAAAAAATACATTTTGCTAGTCCAACATGATGCTACTCTGTACTTGCGGAAAAATTGTTGCATTTTGACGTCCACGCCAAATTTTCCGCTACCCAATTTTTGGTCATAACCGCTAGTGTAGGTATAGCAACATTTAAAAGTGGGCCACTATAATTTCAAATTGTGAAACAACCCCCCCCCCCCCCACAAAAAAAAC